ATGGCTCGGAGCCTGGAGCCTGTTTCCGATTCTGTGTCTCCCTCTCTCTCTGCCCCTCCCCCGTTCATGCTCTGTCTCTCTCTGTCCCAAAAATAAATAAACTTAAAAAAAAAAAATTAAAAAAACAAAACAAAACTGTGTTTTCAAAGCGGGCACCCCGGTGTTGCTTAGAACGGTGTGTTACGGATGGACCCACACAAAAAAGCAAAGTTTTATAAAAACGCTTCCCTTCATACTTTACTTACGACTGGGATAATAGCAATTGTCCTTTTCAAAGAAGACTATTTTTTATTTTCATTTGGAGGAGGTTGGGGGACACTGTTAGGAGTGAACCACCCTCCCCAGCCCCAAGCCACCCCCTGGGTCCCAGGGTCCCAGCCCCACCCTCTGGGCACAGACAGACCCTCGCTCTGTGAGGCTGTGCACCTGCCCGCAGAGCCCATCCTGCAGAGAAGACCAGCACTGCCTGGGCCCTCCAGACAGCAAGCCCTACACTCAGGGGAGGGAGGAGGTCCAGGTGTCTGAGTGAGGCAGTGTCGGAGGAATTTCACTTGAATGCTCTCACCGCCACCCAGTGAAGCGGGTAGTGCCACCTCCTTTGGAGAGCCGTGGGGCTCAGAGAGGTTGGAGAGCTAGCCAAAGTCACACAGCCGTCAGGTGGTGGAATCTCCCCCCTTAGATCCTGCAAGGTGAGCCCACTTCTATCTGACTCCAGAGCCCAGGCTCTATCCACTGTCTACACTGCTTCTGTTAAGGATGGCACTGAGTCTGTGTGTGGACAAGGCTTAGACCAAGAGTGGGGAATTTGCCAAGAGGTGGACCTTGGCTCACTGTGGGGTTAAAGCAGTGAGAGCAGCCGTGGAGTAGTGAGATCCCCGTCACAGGGTGTCTAGCAGGGGCTGGAGACTGCATGTCAGGGAGGATGCTGAGGGACCCTCCTGAACAAAATGCTGGACAAGCCTTCCTCTTGGGCCCTCCAAGTCCAAGGTCTGAGACTGACCTTAGTTAGCACCACCCTGCCCCCTGGGGGTGTCTTGCCACATTACAGCATGTCTGCTGATCCTCTGCGGTGCTAGGAGCGTCTTCTAGGAAAGTTGTGCCTGAGTATCCACAGCTCCCCCAGGTTCCCCCCCACCCCCGCCGCCCCCACCTCGATCCCACCCCGGCACTTCTCCTCTCTGGGCACTGCTCAAGCCGGGGAGAGGCCAGGACCCAGCCAGGGAGGAGGCGTCTGCTGGGCTGGGTCTGAGAAGCACCTAGAAGCCTGGTAAGGGGTCTCCAGTAGAGGAATGGTATGAACAGTCTCACCCTCAAGAAGGTAGAACAGCCGGCCGAGAGGGCTCTGAGCTCCAGGGGGAAGCATTTCATATTTATCCACGGTGGCTGCTCCCACCACTTCCCCTCCTCACACAGAAAGGAGGCCCTTTTTAAAAAAAAAATATGTATATATATAGTGTTCACCCTCCGTGTTCCTCAGGAGAGTACAGACATCAGATACGTCCATTAAAGTCAGAATTCACCTGATGCCTCACCTGGTTCGAAATTGCCATCGGTTAACGGAGTCCCTTCCTGCTTTCTCGGCCTCGCCTTCCTTCCTCCGTGAATCAAGGGCGGCACCGGGTGATCCCAAGGCCCCCTCTGGCTCTCACGCGCTGCAGGTGCTCCCCTCGGTCTCTGCCCTTTCAACCAGAAATGGTGTGCACATTTTAATCTACCCCATATGGAATCACCACGTGAGGACATCTCTCCGACTACCCTGTTCTCTCCCAGAGCAATAACCTTCAAACCGCAGGGTGAAATGGGGTTCGAGTCAACTCGATCAGCATTTATTAGGCACCCACTGCTGGTCATTAATTCAGCCAGCAGATACTGAGATCTCCTGTGTGCTGCGAAACTCAAATAGGGGCTGGAAATAGGAAACATGGCCCCTGCCCCGGAGAGGCTCAACGTATAGCAACACCCCTTGATATCAACCAGATTGTTTCTGGAATGCTGACTGTGACAGAATGCTAGACGCTCTGGTGAGAACTTGGCACCGAGGCTCTCAGCCCTCTAAACGGCTCTGGGAAGCAGGGATTTTAGTAGCTCACCTTAGGAGAACACAGATGGAGAGAGCTTAAATTGTCAGGGAAAGCAGGGAACTGGCTGGCGGCAGAGTTGGGCTTCAAGTCCCCGCCTCCGACTGCAAGACTGAACTCTTCACAGCCCTGCACTTTGTCTGGGAATATGGGGATCCTGCCACCAGATGGACCCTTGCCCTCAATGGGCTTGCAGAAGGCAGGTGTGGGCATTGCTGACTAAACGGGACCAGTGAGCCAGTGGTGTTGGGGCGGGTAGAGACCTTGATGGTGGTTAGGGCGGCGGAAGGGGGAGGTACTGCTCGTGGACCCTTCCCGGTAGCCTCCACACTGGGCATCTGGGCAGGGGCTCGGCTGAACCCCAACTCCACAAGCCAGGGGGTACCCTGCCCCCAGTCTGTGGACATCCCCCCAGGGGGTTCTCTGCCCACGAGCGCCAGGGAAATGGGTCTCACACAGACAACCACTCACACTGGTCGGGGTCACGTACGCTCCTGGACACACTGCCCTGGCCAGGACCAGCCCTGGCTCTGGGGCCACCTTCTCCAAGCTTAGCCTGGAGCCTGAGTGAGCCCTCTGTCTCTCCAGCCCGGTCCCCAGCCAACCACAGCCTCCTGGGATGGGAGCTCCTCTCTCATGTGACGTGGCCATGCCCCCTCTCCCATCCACAGGCTGATCGGGACCTTCCGCATGGTGCTGCAGAAAGTGGTGGAGGAGAAGCGCGTGGAGGTGACCGACACACTGATCGATGACAACAATGCTATCATCAAGGTGGGTTTGCCCCAGAAAGTCCCTGGACTTGCCCTTTGTGGGGTCCCCTGGGGGCCACACGGGGTGGTCTGGGGGATGCTCCTAATGGATGGAGAGGTGAGGCAGGAAGAAGAGACTCAGGTCAGACTGCCAGAATCCCTCTGCCAGGGGTGGGGTGTAGCCAGAGCCCTGGGCTCGGGGTCTGCCGTCCCAGGTCCCACAGCCCTTCCTGCGGTGAGAGCACAAGACAAGGGGGACTAGGACATCCCCTCCCTTCTCCACTGAGCAGCTCAGGAATCGCCACAGGGGCCTCTCCCTTCACCCGAGGGCCAGGCTGAGCCCTCCTGGCCACTCCAGGGCGTGATCTTCACTCTGGATGCCTGCCTTAGGAGCCTCCCTAAGACCGGCCATTCTGCGAGGATGGGGACCTTGTTTCTATTCCTGTTGTCACCTCCCATCTCAGCACCTCCAACACGAACACACGCGTACGAACAACGCACAGTCTGTGGGCACTCGGCACCTGTTCTAACAAAGGAAAGAAATGAGCTCATCTGGATGCCCCGATCCCAGACTCTGCTCTGATGCGTTTGTCCCCTTCGGCTGACTCATGCCCACTCAACAGGCAGGGACACAGCCCCTGCGCACGGACCGCGGTTGGGCCACCAACTGTGGGACTTGGGCAGGCTGCCTATCCTCTGCAAAGTGAGCCAAATTATAGTATCTGCTCCACAGGAATTGTCCGAGGATTAGAAGAGAATATACAGATAGTGCTTAGAAGAGCTAAGCAAGACTTGGGATAAGTCAGAATAGCCTCAGAAGGCAGGGCGGCAGCCACGGGGGAGCCAGAATGGGAGGAGCGCCAAGGGCGGAACGGACGTTCCCACGGTGCCTTTGTACCTCAGGATACTTCCTTGCAGAGGACAGGAGGGCACTTGAGACTTCTCAGCTGGGCCCCAACCAGGCCGTTCTCTCCAGGGGCAGAGGTGGGCAGGGGGGCTTCCCAAAGTCAGGGGAGCTCAGCCACCCCAGCAGGGAGGCGGGGTGCAGAACAAGTTACGGTCACCAGTGGGAGGAAGTGAGAGGAGAGAGAACAGAGGAAGCGGGCAGAGACGAGCAGGCAGCACGGACCATGTTCTGTATTTCTAGAATCGGGTTTAGGAATTTAGCAGAGGACAGGCCTCACAGATTATCTAGTGCACCTACCACCCACCTCTGCCACTCATTTTGTGGATGGGAGCCCTGAGGTCCTGGATGGGGAACGAATTTAGTCAAGGTCAGACGGCTGGTCAACAGCAGAGCTGACACCGGGACCCAGGGCTTCCAATTCCAGGCCACCATTTTGCCAGCACAACATACCTGGTCCCATCCAAAGGGCCACATTGGCTCAGCGGGAAGGCCATGAGGCTTGGAGTCAGTCTGGCTCAGCTCATACCACTTTCTAGCTGTGTGACTTCAAGCAAGTAATTTACCCTCTCGGAAATGTTAGGTAGGATACGTTGAAGTGTTGAGAAGATCAAATGAGGTTTGAGCTGAGCCTGGCTCAGGCCTATAAAATGAGTTTACAGTAAAGCATCTTAGCATGACATCTAGAACAGCGAGGGCTTTTCCTTCGACTCCCCCCCCCCCCGGAAAATCGTTCGGAAGCCCACGTGCCGAGCGAAGGCTGCCTGTGTGGGTCGCCAGAGCAAGCCAACCCCCAATCTCTGAGGGAGGGCAAGTGCATCTGGGAGGCATACTGACACCCGTGCAGGTTGAGGAAGGAACTAGAATGAGTCTTCCCTGTGCACCGGGGAGAAACTAGAGCTGAAAGGAGGCAAGTGGCCCCAGGACCCAGAGCAAGAGGCCTTCCCAGGATTCTCGGGCACACAGCCTGGGCCCAGGTGGGCGCTCCACTTTTCCCCAGAGAAAAAGCCCAGAGCGACCCCCAAGTCCCTTCTCCAGAGCAGGAGTGTCAGATGAACAGGAAGATGTGCCGACCCCATGCCTTGGGAGGTGTCCGGGGGTCCCCTCTCCTGGAGGCACGTCCTGCTCACATCCCATCTCGGGCTCGCATCAGGAGTGAGAGCAGGGCAGCCCCGCTTCTGAGGACGAGGGGGGGACCTCTAGCACTGGGGACACTGAATGATATTCTTCGTAGACAGGGGGCCCAGAGAGCCTACTGCCGTCTGGGCTCAGCTTGTCCCGGGCGCGCCCTCCACCTTGGGCACCAGGGAGGAGTAGAGCCAAGTGCAGCAGGACCAGGGGCCAGAACCCGTTAAGCGGACTGAGTCTGTGAGTCTCAGTCTTTCTGAGCCTCAGTTTTCTTATCTGTAAAATGGGAGGTGGGGGGAGGCTAATACGCACTTTGCCTTCCTCTGGCCGTGGGGGAGGAAGTGAAAGCACTTTGTAAACATCACAAGGAGTGCGCGGGATGGTCCTTGCTATTGCTGTACCCTCGCTCACCACCCGCCCCTCTCCCTCCAGACCAGCCTGTGCGTGGAGGTCCGATATCAGGCCACAGATGGCACGGTGGGCTCCTGGGATGATGGAGACTTCCTGGGGGATGAGTCCCTTCATGAGGAAGAGAAGGACAGCCAGGAGACGGATGGACTGCTCCCTGGCTCCCGCCCCAGCTCCCGGACACCAGGCGAGAAGAGCTTCCGGAGGTAAGAGGCTGGGCCCTCTGGCCTCCCACCACCCCCAAAGACACTGGGAGGATTCCTGGGCCTTGGTTCCCCACGAAGGGCCCTCTCGGCATGACTGGGCTCAGTGGACAGGGCTGAGTTGCTGGAGAGACATACACGAAGCAGGAGTGTATTTCTACAGGGCCCTCGACACCTGTTCGCCCACCCCAGGTTCACTGGGGGGGGGGGGGCAGGGTATCTGGGATCAGGCTGAGGGGCCCGGCCTCCTGCTCCCCTGAGGGAGGACTTGAGGGAAAGAGGCCAGACCCCTGCCTCCTGACAGAATGGGTGAAGCAGACAGGAGGGGGCCCTAACCTTTTGGGTTCAAGACCCAGAAGTGCCAGACCAGCCCCAGGCAGCCCGCCGTCCACCCTGGCCCCAGGCAGGCCCAAGAGAGGGAGGCCTTTTCCTGCCGGGGTGAAGCCAAAGGTCCTGGTCGGGACCCAGCCTCTCTCTTGTTGAGAAGAGTGTGTCCTGACACCCTCAGTGTCTAGGATTCACCCCTGCGATGTCCTACCACACACGGGTGTCAGGAAGCTGCGTCCAGGCCTGCTCATTCCAAATGCAGGACTTGTCCCCAAAAGGAAATGCAATGACATTACTCTTAGAACTCCGAGAGACAGACCCTAAGTTAGTAAAATGTTGGCTACGGATTCCTAGCCTGCTGGGAATAACGTGCAAAATGCAGGTAAGTCAGTGGCACCTCTAAAGTTTTAGAGAAGGGGACCCCTTCCCGGTGATCGTTCCCTCCAATCTCCTGCCCTTTGCTTTCCAAAAAAATGTATTCAGTCCCTGTTCTGAAAAAAACCACCTATGTAAATCAAGGTAATTGAATTGATATGTTTTTGTTAGACGAATGTGCTTTTCTTCTTTGTACTTGAGCCACTCCTCTCGGGCCACACACACTATACAAGCTTAAGACCCTGGGAGCCAGGTCAGGTAACAAGGTCAAAGGGACCATGCGTGTGACAAATACAGCGGACGTTGGCTCCAGGCCAGCCGGGGGAGGGGTGGCATCACCCACTCCAGCTGGGAGGGAGCCTATCCTCCTTAGACTCTGGCCAGCCGGATGGAGAGGGCATGCAATTTGGCCTCAGGAGACTCAGGTCTGAGTCCCAACTCTGCCTCCAACCAGTCTTGTGGCTCTCGGCCGGTCACATACCCTCTTTCCTGTCTCTCCTAACCTGTAAAATGGGACCCAGAACAATGAGAACGCTCCCCCCATCCTGCCATTAGGAGAGACGAAAGGACCACAGGGGGACAGGTTGTAACTGGGGTGCCGAGTGCTGCCCCACATAAGGGCTGGGGACAGACAGGCTCTTGGCAGCTGGACAATGCAAAGGGTCAGGAATCAGGCTGGAAATGGTGATGGGAGCCAGAAGACGCTGATGCAGAGGGCACCAACCCCTCCCAATCCTCTGTCCCCACGAAGGAAGAGCACGCAGGGACTGTTGGGGACTCTGCAGCTAGGCTCTAGGAGGGGGAGCAAGACTGGAAGCCAGGTGACAGCCAACAATTGAAGGGAAGGAGCACCGGCTCTGAATCAGGGAAGCTAAGTTCCATTTGGCCCCATCCTGGCTGCCACTAACTAAGCCGAATGACAGTGAGCGAATCCCCTACCCCTCTGGGCCAATTACAGGAACGGGTTATGTATCCTGGCCGCTCTAAAACTGTGATGTCCCGAGGGACCCAGTGATACTCTGGAGCTCATGAGTAGCACCAGTGTGAAACAGCTGTCTGGGAGCTCTTGACAGCCGAGGGCCACCCTCTGTGGCTACTGTGGCTCGGGGCTCACGAGAAGGGGCCAGGAGGCTGACAGATGGGGCTTGAGTGGAGGCAGTAGAACAAAGTGAGGGGCTTTGGTCCCCAGACCAGCAGAGGGCCTCTCCTATCCTCCCTCAACCTGGCTCAGGGTTTCCCCACCTCTCCCTGGTTTCAGTGGCCTCTCCTAGGGCAGCAGCAGGAGGAAGGGTTTTTGTTGTTGTTGTTGTGTGTGTGTGTGTTTTTTAAGTTTACTTATTTATTTTGAGAGAGACAGAGAGATAGGCAGACAGAGAATCCCAAGCAGGCTCTACGCTGTCAGCGCGGGGCTTGAACTCACAAACTTGTGAGATCGTGACCTGAGCCAAAATCAAGAGTCGGATGCTTCACCGATCGAGCCACGCAGGCGCCCCAGGAGGGAGGATTTTATCTGGGATTGGGAATTGGGAGAGGGTGACAACCGCGGTCAGAGCCCCCTTGTCTTCCAGATGCCACCGCCCTGTGTTGGAGGGGCTTTGTGAGGGAGCGCACGGTTCCCCTGCTGTCGCGGGGGCCACTGGCCCAGACGCTGAGAGCACCTGGGGGTCGGTGCCCTTGCCAGGCCTAGCCACGCAGCCAGCAGGCCGGGTGGGGGGAAGAGGTGAGAACATTCGGGGAGGGCCCTTTGCTGGTGAGGAGAAGGTAGAACAGCTTTAGAGCATGTGGGCTCATCCTACGGCTTAATTCTGGCTGCATGTAAAGGGCATGTGAGCTCTGGGTCAAGGAGTGTGGGTGCTACAGGAACCCGATAGTTGGCCTTGCAGCCCGAGGTGTTATGTCTCACCCTCGTCTCACAAGTACCAACCAGCCAGGTCTGTCAGCTCTGGAGCCTGGGAGAAAGCCACCATCTTCCGGACTGGTGAGCCCTCCAGACAGGCTTTGGTCAACAAAGGGACGGAGGAGGAAAGGGATATATGTGCCTAGCCTCTGACCCCGAGCAAAGTCTTCCTTCCCCACATCTGCCCCTTGCCCTCCGTTCATTCCTAAAAAGGCCCACCCCTTCAAAGATCAAGGTGCTCAGTCTACTAGGCGCCTGTCTTGTCTTTCCTCTGGCCACCCAGCAGCAGCAGGAAACCCTCATTGCTAGCGAACAGCAGTGTCTCACCTGGTCTTCTGGATCCACAGGGGTCTGGGGTGGGAATCCATTCCTTCCCGTCCAACATGGCTCCGTAGGGTGCTTGCTGGAGGGCGGAGGGGGGCCCGGTGGAGTGAATGGGCAGGAAACAGCCTTGGCCTTGGACTGGCAGGGACTCTTCCATGGATGACAGAGGAGGCTGATGTGGGGAGGTCCTGGTGAGCCCACACTTCTCCCTCTGGGGCCTGGGCACCCCCCAGCTGGGCTCCAGCCATCTGCTCTCACTACCCCAGAACAGGTCTTGGCAGAGGTACTCACTTAAGGGAACTCACTCTGAAGGCCTTAAGTATCTTCCTGGAAATTTCTCCCATGTGACCTCAGGGAATGTCTGCCAGGCACCTCCGCCTGAGCACCCCCCCAGTCCCCAGCCCGACACCAGTAGCCCATTAACCCTTTCCTCCCACGGTTCCATCAATCCCAGGCCCCAGTCAGTCTCGTGCCCTCTGAGCCACTCTGCCTACTTCTCTAGTCTCTGCCCCCAACCGGGGGCCTCCGATTTTGGCCAGGTTTCTGTAAAATACCCTGGGAATGTTCCAGAGGCAATGCGATGACGTGGAGAGACACAGGGCTCAAATCCCGGCTCTGGTCTCCGGAGCTACACTTGCCCACCTGTGAGAGGGGCATCAGGGACGTGAGGATCAAATGACATGCTTCATGTGAGTCGCCCACCGCAGCACCCGGCGTGTGGTGGTGCTCAGCCAGTGCCTGATGCCTTCCTCCTTCCTTTCCAGTCTCCGTGACCTGCCCCGGTCCCTGAAGGGAAAGGAGACTTCGGCCCAGCACGAGCGTGCACACACTTATCAGCGCCGCTCAGGTGCATGTGTCTTTGTGACACCAGGTTGCCGCACACACCGCTGGCTTCTGGGCTCCGTTGCTGATGCGGCTCTAGGAGCCACATCCAGAGGGATGGAAAGGAGGCCCAGCTTTAATGGTGCAGCTTCTCTTAGGGCTTTCCTGCGGATTTCCTCTATTCTGCGACTCTCTCCTTATTTTCTCCATCTGCCTGGCCCTCCTGCCCTCCACGGCCCCACCCCCTTCCGCCCAGCCCCCCCTGCCTGAGAAGGCAGAGGTTCCCGTTGGGTTCCTCTCTGCTGGGTCTCATCTTGGGAGAGCAAGGAGGGACCACTTTTCTTGTTCTCCTTATGGATCATTCTTCTACTCCAGCAGAGATCCATGGAAGCCAGGTACCCCCACTCCTATACCATGGGTCAGGGGGCAGCAGGGTATCCCCACAGTGTGTGCCCTGGGATGTGCATGGGGTCAGCACAGCCGGCCTCACCCCCCAGTTCCCATGATTCCTCCCCCACCTCAGCACAGAGGAGCCAGGGCCAGGGCCATGCTGGGATGGGGTGAAGCGATGCTTCACCAGCTGTTTCACCCAAGGTTAGGGTCCCCTCCACCCCCGGCCCAGAGCTGAGTGTTCAAGTGAGGTCTGGCCCCGTGAAGCACTGGGTCCCAGCAAGCCTCAGAGCCCTCCCAGCGGGCCGCCATATTGAATCTCCCACACGGTGGCTGCTTTCAGTGGCACACCCAGAGCAATGTGGATGGGGGAGGAAGAGACGGAGTGAAACCCAGGCCCAGAGAGACAGAAGGCTGGCTGAGGAACAGAACCCACCCAACCTACCTGCTGAAAACACAATGTGGACCCTAGGAGGAAAGTCCAGACCCATCCAGGCCTTCACGGAGAGGTCTCCGAGCAAGGAGGACAGAGGCCGGGCCACATCCCATCCCTACTGCTTGTGGCCGAATGACTGAGGGCAGGCTGAGCACAGAACCCTGAAGCTTTATTATTCACGTTCGTTGTAGTCATTAATAGCGGTTGTGGTAAAATCATGAGAATGTTCTTTTTTTTCACAGAAAGACAGTCCTTTTCCCCTCTCCATTTCCACACTCAGAGTGTGGGCCTGTGTGCGGCCCCTTTGTGGGCCCAGCGGCCTGGAGTGTTCGAGGACGGGGTGAGGCAGGCATGTTCCAGGCAGCCTGTGCTGTGAGCCACCTGGGCCTGCTGTGTGCCTGAGAAGCTCCCCCGCTGGGCCAGCCTGACGGC